CCTAAACCCTAAACCCTATAAGCAATATAAACCCTAAACCCTATAAACCCTATAAGCACCCTAAACCCTATAAACCCTAAGCCCTAGCCCTAGCTGGCCAGAAGCCGAACAGCCGCAGGCCGTGACAAAAGTCCACTGGCACGAGGCGTCCACGGGTTTAGGGTTTAGGGTTTAGGGTTTAGGGTTTAGGGTTTAGGGTTTAGGGTTTAGGGTTTAGGGTTTAGGGTTTAGGGTTAGCAAAATGTCACTCCGCGGGATTCGGTCCCCGAAGCCTCTGTCGCCACATGGGTAGTTCTCTGAATTAGGGTCCGTTTTTAGATCCCCAATATAGTACGGCACCCTTATAAAGAGGACCCTAAAGAAACCCTAGTTTAGAGAACTACCCACATTGATACTGATGCCACTCCTGGCCCAAAAGCAAAAAGCAAAGCCCTGGACCAAAAAAGCAAACTCTAAACCCTGGAAGCCGAGACCCTCAGAAGTACTTTAAGGGGGTTAGCATTAGAACAGGGGATTCGGGGCCCCTTCCACTATAGCTATAATAAGGAACCCCCAAAAGTAGTATTGGTAATTGTATAGGCCCCAACATTTCATTACACACTAAACCCTACAAGCTAAACCCCGAGACCCGAAAACCAAGCCTGAAGAGAAGCCCGAAGCCCCTAAACCCCTACCTTAAACGACCATAACCTACGAACTTCACCCTAACATACAGTCGAGTTTATAAGGGGCACTACAAAAGTTAAACTACCATAACCTATAAAATTGACCCAGGTATGTAAATATATATATATATATAGATATATATATATATATAAACAGTCCAGGGGCTCTACCAAAAAATCTAAGTTGTGGTAGGTTAAAGGCAAGCCCTAAAACCCTAAGACCACGGCTCCACTCCTGGGTCTAAAGAACATCCAGGCACCGGGCCTTAAAGTTTAGGCTTTTTGTTAGGGATAAGAGTTTAGGGTTTAGGGTTAAGGGTTTTTGGGGGGGCTTTGGAGCTTGGTGCTTTGGGGCTTTGGGATTTTCACGGCTTTGACGGCTTTAGGCCTCAGGACTCCGTGCTTTAGGGCTTCTGTTTTTTTTACGGGTGCTGAGGGTTTCGGATTTTGGTGTTTTGGGTTGCGTGTTTGGGTTTTGGGTTTGGAGTTTGGGGGGTTTAAGTCTCTTCGTCAATAACCAAATCCAAAAAAGGCTGAAATTTCTACTATAGACTGGATATATGAGGCCAAAAAGCTTAAAGTGGCGATGGTGGTGGTGATATTCTACATGGCTGTAGTATATTCCCGAACCCTAAACCCTAAACCCTAAACCCTGTACCCTAAACCCTAAACCCTGTACCATAAACCCTAAACCCTAAACCCTAAACTCCAAACCCCAAACCCCA